GCAGTATGTTGTATACTCACCAGCTGTCTGCAGTATGTTGTGTACTCACCAGCTGTCTGCAGTATGTTGTGTACTCACCAGCTCTCTGCAGTATGTTGTGTACTCACCAGCTGTCTGCAGTATGTTGTGTACTCACCAGCTGTCTGCAGTATGTTGTATACTCACCAGCTGTCTGCAGTATGTTGTGTACTCACCAGCTGTCTGCAGTATGTTGTGTACTCACCAGCTGTCTGCAGTGTGTTGTGTACTCACCAGCTGTCTGCATTATGTTGAGGTAAATCAGGTTGAATAAAGAATATAATGATTTAGAGGAATGAGGGCGAGGTTGTGGAGGAACAGTTGTGGAGGAACAGTTGTGGAGGAACAGTTGTGGAGGTACAGTTGTGGAGGTACAGTTGTAGAGGTACAGTTGTGGAGGAACAGTTGTGGAACAGTTGTGGAGGTACAGGGAGGTTATAGCCTGGGGAGGAACAGTTGTGGAGTTGTGGAGGTGGAGAACAGTTGTAGCAGGTAGGTACAGTTGTGGAGGTACAGTTGTGGAGGAACAGTTGTGGAGGAATTGTGGAGGTACAGTTGTGGAGAACAGTTGTGGAGGAACAGTCGTGGAGGTACAGTTGTCGAGGAACACAGGAGGAACAGTTGTGGAGGAGACAGTTGTGGGAGAACAGTTGTGGAGGTAAACAGTGTGGAGGTACAGGTGAGGTACAGGAGGTTTGTGGAGGTACAGTTGTGGAGGTACAGTTGGAGGCAGGAGAGGTACAGTTGTGGGAGGTACAGTTGTGGAGGACAGTTGTAGAGGTACAGCTGTGGAGGAGGAACAGTGAGGAGGTGAGTACAGTTGTGCAGTTGAGGTACAGTTGTGGGAGGTACAGTTGTGGAGGGACGTTGTGGAGGGAGGTACAGTTAGGAGGTACAGTTGTAGAGGAACAGTTAGGAGGAACAGTTGTGGAGAAACAGTTGTAGAGGTACAGTTGTGGAGGAACAGTTGTGGAGACAGTTGGGAGGAACAGTTTGGCGGTACAGTTGTGGAGGAACAGTTGTGGAGGACAGTTGTGGCGGTACAGTTGTGGAGGAACAGTTGTGGGAGAAACAGTTGTAGAGGTACAGTTGTGGAGGAACAGTTGTAGAGGTACAGTTGTGGCAGTACAGTTGTGGAGGAACAGTTTTGGTGGCACAGTTGTGGAGGAACAGCACAGTTGTGGAGGTACAGTTGTGGAGGAACAGTTGTGGAGGAAACAGTAGGTACAGTTGGAGGCAGTGGTTGGGAGGTACAGTTGTGAGGGGAGAACAGTTTTGCAGGCAGGAACAGTTGTGGGAGAAACAGTTGTGGAGGTACAGTTGTAGAGAGGTACAGTTGTAGAGGTACAGTTGTGGGGAACAGTTGTGGGAGGTACAGTTGTGGGGAGGAGGTACAGTTGTAGAGGTACAGTTGGGAGGTACAGTTGTAGAGGTACAGGTAGAGGCAATACAGTTGTAGAGGTACAGTTGTAGAGGTACAAGTTGTAGAGGTACAGTTGTAGAGGTACAGTTGTGGGGGGGAACATTTGGGAGGTACAGTTGTAGAGGTACAGTTGTGGAGGAACAGTTGTGAAGGAACAGTTGTGGGAGGCACAGTTGTGGCACAGTTGTGGAGAAAGTTGGGGAGAAACAGTTGTAGAGGCACAGTTGTGGAGGAACAGTTGTAGAGGGTACAGTTGTGGCAGTACAGTTGGGAGAAACAGTTGTAGAGGTACAGTTGTGAGGTACAGTTGTGGAGGTACAGTTGTGGAGGTACAGTTGTGGAGGGGTAAGCAGTTGTGGAGGTACAGCAGAGGTACAGTTGTGGGAGGTACAGTTGTGGAGTACAGTTGTGGACAGTTAGGTTGGACAGGGAGGGTACAGGTGTTGAGGTGAGTTGTAGAGGTAAGTTGTGGAGGTACAGTAAACCTCTTGTTACTGTATCATGTTCAGCTCAGTACAATACAATAACACATTAGCTCATCTCTCTCCTCTAGTGGTCTTTCTTTCTCTCTCTTTCTCTGTTGGTTCTGTGCCCCCCCTCTCTCCATTACTCCCACATTAAACATTTTAATGCATGCAGTTGAGAGCTCTGTTGTGTCTTATTGTAATGGCGAATCAAAAAAGATTGATGGATCCTTGATGACTATAGTGATGGATGACGGGTGACGGATGATGGATGAGGAATACTGGGTGACTGGTAGCGGATAGATGACTTAATGGGTGATGGGTATTGGATGACTAATAAGAATTCACATATGACAGATAATGGATAAGATGGGTGATGACTACCTTACGGATGAGTGACAAGTTATAGTTGATGGATGAGTGGATGAGTTACAGATAATGTGAGTTGATGGGCAATGGGTGATAAGAGATTGATATTGGATAGGTGATGGATGATGAGTGCTGGATAATGGGGTGACGGGTAATGGGTGACGGGTAATGGGTGACAGTTAATGGGTGACGGGTAATGGGTGATAGTTAATGGATGATGGGTAATGGGTGACAGTTAGTGGGTGACGGGTAATGGGTGACAGTTAATGGGTGACATGTAATGGGTGGTATTTAATGGGTGACGGGTAATTGGTGACAGTTAATGAGTGACGGGTAATAGGTAACAGAAAATGGGTAGACAGGTAAGTAGTAATGGGTGACGGGTAATGGGTGACAGTTAATGGGTGACGGGTAATGCGTAATGGGTAATAATATTTCCCCATGTAGTATTCTCAATTCAATATAACTATTCATCAAACCATTTTTTTATTGCAGGATTTACACACAACTTTTCCCTAGCCTCATCCATTATTCAATTCTTCATTACAATTTCATTTTCCTTTCATTCGGCTTTTCTATGCTATATGGTTGACCAATATCCATTTGATCAAACTCTTGCTCTGTATTTACCTTATGATCTTGTCCCATTGTAAGCCTTGTAAGATTCACCCACCAGCCTTTACGAAATTCTGACCACTCGTTGTATAAAGTAGTACACCTATGCGTACTGACAATACCCCCTAGCAACTATACACATCCAGTTCCTACCCCACCGCTCTATCCAGTTACTGAACATTACACTACCTCGTTTCACCCCCCATCTCAAACCTTTCACTTATTACTTTTAACTTTATTTAATTTATTGTTTTTAATGATCTAAGTAGCTTTCCTCCCACTCCATAAATCATCACTACCTCCCACAAGTGCTTCGTGGTGCTTCGTATCACATGGCTTCTCCAGATTCCTAGACACTACTCACAGATTCTTATATTTGGTTAAGTGTTCTGTTTTGACGAGTTTTACTTTAAGTTATTTGACCTACACACTCCCTACCTTCTTTAATTTCTTCATTTTTCTTCACTTAATCATTCAAGCTGTTATTAGTCTCTCTTACCAAGATACCCGGATGTACTGAGTAGACTGGCGCCTCTGTTTACCATATGTCATATTCATAGTAAGATGCCTATTAAATTTACTCCATGTTTCAAGTTCTACGAGAGCTTCTTTTTCTTCGTCTTCTTCTTCTGCCTCTCCTTTCATTAGTGTCACACCGTTGCTTCACCCTCCTCCCTGACCTCTATCCTCCACCGCCACCCTGTTACTTTAAATCTTGCCGATACTCTTCTAAATCTGTGTTACACCGTGCTCTTTACTTTTATAACTATCAAATAAATTTCTTTCATGTGCAAACTTCACTGCCTTATTTATACACTAATTTCTATACTCTCACAGTATTTTTTACATAATATCCTTGTGTAGTCTTTTGCCCATTAGCCTTTCTCTTCCCATTACCTAACTCTTTTATACTGTAGCTTCGTCTCGTTTTCAGGATAAGTTTAGCAAACATCAGGTAGCGGTCGGAGTGTCATCATTCATCTTACTTTTGTGCATCCTGCTTCTTTGATCTTTAACTAAATAAAGAAAAAAGTTCTTTTTCTCGATAATATCATTATAAACTTGAAAAATAATATGAAAATGTAAGTTTACAGGACAGGAGGATCAATACCATGGTGTAATTTTTCACCTGAGACGAAATATTGTGAGGCAAAGTCTGTCTCTCCTATACTGTGACCGTGTGTCGAGTGTCACTAGGGATATATATATATATATATATATATATATATATATATATATATATATATATATATATATATATATATATATATATATATATATATATATATATAAGGTTTCGATGGTCTAGAGAACAGGTCTGACTGCTACTAGCATTACAAGGCTATTTTCTTTTTTTGTAGAATTTATTTTTATTTTAAGAATTTATTGTATATCTAACCTAACCTAACTTAACCTAACCTAAATCGAATTCTGAACAACTAACGTTAGTTTGTTGTGTCAAACAAGTAAAATAAATATCAAACAAAAATACAATAACACATTGAAATGGTGAAAATAAAACAAATTAATTTATGTGCAGATGGTTGTTAAATAATGAACACACAGTATGAGGGTAGTGAGGGTGATGGGGGGGGGGGGTGCCAGGTAACAGGAGGAGGTTTTTAAATACTACGAAACGGAAAATGAATGAATAAGGGAGGAATACGGAACTTATGATAAACATTGGAAGGGGAGAAGTAAGGAGAACAACATGACTGGGAACAAAGTCATGAGACACGTTAATAGTACAAATCAATTTATCATGGAAGTTGATGAAATGATATAAATTATTTAAGTTCTCCAATAATGAAGACAAGGTTTTTAATCTTTTGAAATTCACTTCTCAGTTAAAGTAGATTTTTTAATATTTTCTTCTTTCTTCATTCGAATTTCTTTTACTTTTAGTTTAAATTATTATTTTTGTCAATCTTTTCTTCAATTTCAGTATCACTTTTCCATAATTATGTTTTTAATTGAACACATAGATGAAACTATTTACGAGTAAACCACATTGAGGGTTTTTGATATATTATTACTGAAACCAAGTAAATCTAACTTACTCCTGTATATAAGGTAGACTGTGTGTGTGAGAGTATCGTGTATTACTACAGCTGGTTGTGGAGGTGATGGACGCCAACGACCACCGGCCAGTGTTCAGTGCCAGGGTGTACGAGGCCAGCGTCAGCGAGGCCGTCGCTCCTGGCACTACCGTCCTTGCCCTCCAGTGTCGTGACATGGACCAGTCTCCTTCCACCGCCTCCGCCGTCTACTTCTCCCTCCACCACGCCCAGTCCCTCGCCTCCCACGGCCTCTTCACTATCGACTCCACCGTCGGGGACCTCATCGTTGCCGAGCCCCTCGACAGGTTGGTAGTGTTGCCCTGTTTTCTCACACTTCTTCACATATATATATTCCTGTTTTAAATTAATATATCATGTAAGATCTCTATCACTCTGTATCAAGAGAGACAGGGACACTCTGCTAGTTACAATGATTAATTCATGTGTGTGTGTGTATGTGCAGGGAGGTGACAGGGGTGCACGAACTGACGGTGAGCTGTCGGGACAGAGGGAGGAGAGAGAACGCCGACTTCGCCCGAGTGTTGGTGACTGTCACTGACCACAATGACCACGACCCTGCCTTCCTGGAGACCATGATCGTTGCCAAGGTAGGATTAACCCTCGTGTGATGCTCAGGTTTGTGTTGACTTAACCTGAACCTTATCACGTTGTTGAGTTACTGTACACCACCAAGAGAAGCCCACCAGCGGATATGATGAATGTTTTAAAACTCTCACAGAAAATATAGAACAAGGAAGCCATAGATGGTAGATATTTTCCACTTGTCATTTATGGTTACTTTCTCCTACCATCTGTGTGGCCGCTGTGGTGTAATCCTTTATCATTACAGCTTAACTCAAAAGAAGCAGGAAGAACGTTTTCATTTTAATGTATTGTACTTAAGAAAGGTATCCTTGTCATTACAGGAAAAGTTATTAAAACTGAAATTGTCGAAAAAATTAAAATAAATTAAACCCTTTCTCGACTCCGACTCTGTGGTCACTTATGTCAAGTAAGTTTAATTGTCTAAAAACAATTCAATCACAATGTTGAACGTCAAATTAAACTAATACCTGATATATCATTAGACGCGACTTTTGTTAGTAGTACCGTAAGGGATTCGATCCCGGACCACGAAGGTTGGCATTCTGGTAGCTATCCATTGGACCACGATGGACTAAAAAAGTAACTATTCTTAGCTACTTACCTGAAGTTCAATGTCCCACGCCCTGTATAACAATGTTTGCAATATATCAGAACCTATAATATACATGAACAAGGTTGGCTACTGCAGAAGAGCTAAGCCGTTTTTAATTTCAGGTGCCACCATCATTTGAACCAAATCGCAGGTCTACCACTGGAGGCTTGGTGAACCTCACATCTTAGCACCCCACACAGAACAGCTTAGACTCTAAGCCGTGTTTCTTGCATGAACATCAGTATGAACTGCTTTATTTTCCTTTTACATGTGAACTTATTGACCTCTAGAATGGTAGATGCTGCTGGTATCAGTGTGAGGTGATCATTGTAGTCCCTGCATCAACTTTCTTAATATTACAGCTCTTGATTATTTATTTCCGTCTCTCATATTGGAAGACACGTACAGCATGATAGGCCTCGACTCAACTTTGTTTGGGCTCAAGCTGGAATACATTGCTTCTTGTATTGCTGTCCACATAGTTGATCAATAGGAGTACAGTACAGTACACAATGTGTCGTCTCCTATGGTTGTTGCAAACTTAGATGAATGGATAATCAGCACATCTGAGTCGCCTTGTGTGTGAACATCTGCCCCAACTGCATGTCGCTCGGGTGATTAATGACCTACTGTTTGTTGACCTTGCTACTCATCTTTCTTGGGTCTAATAACCACATAATTTATTAAAATGATGGTTGATCCAGTTCGAATTTCTGCTTACATGTGGCAGGTGACATCTTTGATTGATGGATCATCCTCACACCCTTCAGACACAGCAATGACCTTCCAAAATTGATGGAGGATACATTATGTGTATAGCGGTCCGCTTGATGATGATCATTGTGGGAGTTCATCTCTATCAAAGACATAAATCACACCTCCCGGGAGCTTTGTTTGGTCATCTCACAAAGTTTTCACAATGCATCTGCCAAGCCGAGTTGTCTGACTACCCAAAGACAGCTGAAGGTTGAAATAGCGCTGCTGGGACACTGTTGGGTTACAAAGTGGACACAAATCGTGTCTTTCTGCTATCATCACCAGCCTCCGCATCAGGAGCTGAGTCTCACCCAGTGATCATCATGACTCTGTTGAAAGTTATTATCACTGCCAGCTGTGAACATCTTAGCCAACCGTTGACAGCAAGATTCAAGTCTAACTTTCTTGGGTTTTGTCAATATTTATTGTCTCACTTCCAGCTTCGCCATTCATGAAGTTTTGTTTAGTTGAGTCGGCGTCTAATGAGTTTCTTTCATGTATATAACTGAAGAGTTTTGTTACACCATTCACATCTCTTCCCCGTCTTAATTTGGTTATTATATTGTTCACTTGCTCTACGTTATTTAGTGGGTAAACATTTAGTATGGCGCACAGGACGCTGTCTTCAAGTTCAAACAAATGAACAACGTTTTTTTGCAATTTGTTTTAAGCTGACCCTCCAGAGTGTAGAGACGTATTGAACACGTGAGACACTGCCCTCTTGAGGTGCGGCCTCATACCATCTACTTGAGATACATTTGTTGTAAGGATGAGAGCGTTGGCAGTGTAACAGTTAGGTTACGAGATAAGAACATACCTGTAAGAATATAAGAATGGAGGAAACTGCAGTGGGTCTATTGGCCCATACTGGACAATCTCGTTTACACCCAACCCCTATCGCTCATATATCCGTCCAACCTATATGTGAAGCTACCTAGCGTGTTCGAGTTAATTATGAAGTTCGGTAACTTGTTCCATTCATCCACTTCTCTATTTCGAAACCAGTCTTTACCTATCTCGCGCCTAAATCTAAATTTGTCTAATTTAAAATCACTGTTACGAGTTCGCTCTAGGTTGGATAGTTTGAGTACCTTTGTTGAACCCTGACTTCCATTTATACACCTCAATCATATGTATAATTATCATGAACCACACAGAATCGTTTAATGTCAAGAACCGTATCTGAAACTGTGTCAAGGCCCAAAGAGGATCTCGTGGTATATCAGTGCATTTAAGACCTCGGGTGTCTCATATTACACAGATCTTGTGTTTCAGACCACAAAGGATCTTGTGTGTTTCAGGCTACCTAATATAGTTCAGTGCAGAATGTTTGTGTTAGGTCTCAGTACGTCATTATTCTGGCTATAGCTACAGTGTGTTGAGGAAAATTCACAGGTTGAAGATGAACTCGAAGCTCTGATAAGGGTACTAAGCTACTGTAGTTGGTGCTGTGTGAGGATGGTGTACAGTACATCCAAGTCTGCCGTGTCTTGAGTCATGTTTGCAAGTGTCTTACCTAATTATTAGGAATGACATTTTATTTATAACTAACACTGTTATTTCTAACAAACGATGTCATAACTAACTCAGTGTCATCACTAGCACTGTCATCACTAGCACTGTCATCAGTAGCACTGTCATCACTAACACTGTCATCAGTAGCACTGTCATCACTAACACTGTCATCACTAACACTGCTATTGCGGCTATATATATGTGTACGCTGTAAGTAACCTTGACTGTGTATAACAGCGTGTGTGGCACAGTGCCCTGCGTGATACTTTATCATCTATAGCATGACAGAGCCTCGGGTTCCGGGATATATCAAACCTTAACATTAAATAGTAACTCGCGTCAACTGAAACTCGTTGATTTTGGACTCACTCAACATTTTACCAACAACAGTAACAGAGTCAAAGACCATACACTGACATACATGAATCATATAACAGTGTAAACGAATTTGTCTCTGTTCAGTATAAAGGTTTAGGTGTTATAAACATATTTAATGTGAACATATTTAAGGAGCACTTCATTTCGCTGTTGTTTTTGTGACCCACTATTATGGTCAATATTATGTGGAGTGACAGTTGTGCTGTGGCTGTATTACAACAGTCTGGATACTAAAAAGCTGAGTTAACCCATCACACGCACCTCCACCTGACCCCCTCTTCTCCCCCAGCAGCCTCCTCCACCAACCCTCTCCTCCTCCCCCAACAGCCTCCTCCACCAACCCTCTCCTCCTCCCCACAGCCTCCTCCACAGCCTCTCCTCCAGCCCTCTCTCTCCTCCCCAGCAGCCTCCTCCCCAGCCCTCTCCTCCTCCCCAGCAGCCTCCTCCTTAGCCCTCTCCTCCTCCCCCAACAGCCTCCTCCACCTGACCCCCTCTTCTCCCCCAGCAGCCTCCTCCACCAACCCTCTCCTCCTCCCCCAACAGCCTCCTCCACCAACCCTCTCCTCCTCCCCCACAGCCTCCTTTACCAGTCACAATTCCTTCACCCTCAGCTTCCTTCCCTCACAGTCCTTGGATACATTCAACTGGAGGAGACATGAAGCATCTGGCATTGATATAGAGATATTAGTCACTATAATGGAGTGATTCTTAACTATATCGCCACTGACCCCTTCACTAACGCCAGCCAATTTATTTTTACGGCACAGAGCCCCCCCTACAAAAGGGGTTAACCTCCATATCTTGTTAAAAAAATAAATGCACAATGTCGATTAGTTTTGATGTGTGTTTTGTGATGACGAGCCAAAATAATTATGATGAAGCGAGGAGTTTACGTCTTATGTTTGGCAATATTTATATTTTTCGTTTGTCTCGAAGTAATCTATAATATTTTTCACGCCACCGGTGTCACGTGAACAGGTGTGATGGTGATGTCTGTATCTAATCATATAACTACAGTATGAAGTAAAATTTACATTTCGCAGCATAACCCGTGAAAGGTAATAGTTACAGTGTTCATAATTGATATATATCTACATATATATATAATCAACACCTCAACCTGCCAGGATTCGAACCCACGGCCCCATGACTGTGACCGGGGAACGCTAACCGCTGGACCACCAGGATACTAAGGGCAATCCTAGACTTTGTTATATTTCACACAAAGCCTGTTCAACGAGCTTATGGCGCCGTGAACCTCTAATGGGGACTACCCGTATCACGTAGGTGGTCAGACTAACGTTTTACCAAATCCGGCTTCGAAACACGAGGATCCATATATATTTCATTAGCCCAATAAAGCATCGGACTTCTACATACAATCAACACCTCAACCGTGGATTCGAATCCTGGCAGGTTGAGGTGTTGATTATATATATATATATATATATATATATATATATATATATATATATATATATATATATATATATATATATATATATATATATATATATATATATATATATATATATATATATATATATATATATATATATATATATATATATATATATATATATATATATATTCACCACAGCCATCCACAGGACCACTATATTTTTAGGGTAAAAGAGTCAGTCACAACAGCAGGCACCCGGCGTGAGTCAGACCCTCACTCACATAAATGCAAACAAATTCTGCAAATTCATATATGATTCCTGAGAGAAAAATTGCACATTTTATCATATGAAAAAAAAG